CTATCATCTATCTTCCTACCTATCTTCCCTTCTCATGAATAAACAGTGAATGAAAAATATGTTTGCTTCCCTTTCATAAACATGTAACAAATAATAAGTTGCATCTCTCTGTTGTAATATAATAATGTTAGGATTGAAATGAAAAGAAGTGATGAGTTTTACAAGTTTTAACTGGACAAGTAAAGAACCTGGGTACCGAAATGGAGGGGAGCACTTTGGTTACATAACAAATGTATTTATTTGGTCAAGATAATGGAAATGAAGTTCACCAAAGTAGATTTAATGCGGTGGCAGGTAATCCATAGGAGCCCTGGTAGCACAGTGGTTAAAGTGCATTATCGCAGGCAAACTCTGCCCAAATCTAGGAGTTTGATTCTGACTGGTTCAAGGCTGACTCAGCCTTCCATCCTTCTGAAAACAGTAAAATGAGGATCCAGATGATTGAGGGCAATATACAAATAATGCTTTTACATTGTAAGCCATCTAGAGAATACTGTAAAGCCTAAATGCTAATGCTATTGCTATATTCAGACTTAACTCAAGTTGGTTTGAAGTACTTCAAAAAAAGTTCTGTTTCCTAATTATTCAAAAACTGCAACAACATGTTTCCTGCCACTCAGTTGGCAAAATATGTGATTTCAAAAAAAACCACACAAGCTTGAAGATGGCACTCGCTGGATTTAATGATAGTCAGAAGCCATCTACTTCTGAAGGCACACTGTAACATCATCATGCTGGTTACAACACTGGCCACAATATAAATGTATTGAATTGAGTTTATTATATATAGTTCATTTTAGTCATTAGGACAAAAGATCAGCCTTCTTCAGATGGTTTGCTTGGGATAGGCTTTACTTAAGTCCTAGTTTTATGTGTTCATACAAGCTCCTTTCGAAAACATATATTTACAGTTATTCTGAAATAGATAACTTTGGCATTCTGTTGACTTTTAGTTAGAAAAGTTAGAAATACAGTAGTTTGAGATTTTAATCCTGAGGCTCAATTGTGGCTCTTATGGGCAATAATAGGCATATGGATTTTACTTTTATTGTCCACCTGCTTATTTCCTTTTTGAAATTTAAAAATACCCTTGTCCTTTCTTTTCTCTCCCAATTTTTCATGGAGATACACATGGGCTCTTGGGAAAGTTTCTTTAAAATTCATCTGTAGAGTGAGGACGCTGGTGTGTATATTTTGTGAAATGATGAACACTTACCTGAAAACCATTTTGTCCTTAGGACATCCTCTAAAATTCCATTTGTTCTTACTGGTTCAAAACATTTGGCAGATACCCGAGAGCTTAGTGATTGCAACCATTATACTTCCTTGATGATAAATGAATTCTACTATTAGAGATTAGCATAATACATATGCTTCTTCTGATTCTTGGCCTACATACTTTAGTTCACCTAAAGCCTGGGTAGTGAGGAAATAGAGAATTCCATGTGATCAGACTTGATTAAGGAGTGACACATAATTAGGAAACAGAGATGACACAATATTAAAGTGAGCTGTGGAGGCAGATGGATGGACAGGTTGTGCTTGAAGGATCTCAACAGGATTGATTATTAACATGGTTGAAAAGTGAAAAAGAATTTACATTCTATCTCAAAAGATTATTTGATTTTTCATTCCTCCCACCTTTTTTTTCAGGATATGGCAAAACCAGTTTTCTTTTACACCTGCCTTTTAAATCTAGATCTTAACCTATAGGTCTGTTTGGAAATACGGTGCATCTTATTTTTCTCTAGGTATGTCACAGGACTCTTTCCCCAACCAACAAGAGTCACTTGGTAGTGAAATGGAAAGTGCCTAAATTTTATAAAAGCAAATAAATAAATAAATATTTCCCTTAATCCTTTGACATATTTTTCCTCCCTATCAATCTGCTGAACCTCGCTTCTGAAACTACTCAACATTTGATTTGTGGATAGAACATCCATCATATATACACACAGATATTGTGGCTGATTCATGGATTTTATATTGGATTTCACTTCTACTGTTTAGGCTGATATATCCATAAACTGATGACCCATTCAAACATTCCAGAGAGTCAGCATTTTTATTATTTTTTATATTATTAAATCTCTTCATGTGTTCAGGGAACTGAATGTAGAATTCTGTGACTTGAGACTATCAGAAATTTTTCTGCCCACTAAATATTTCCTTTTTCTGGGTATCAGTCCTTCAACAGAACAGGGTTGTTGCTTGTCTATGAGTTATATATCCATTGCTTCTGGATTTATTTCCAGGTTCATGCTTAGTCACATTCATGAAGGGATGACAGTTGGGTGGAAAGATTAGAGACACAGAGAGATTTCTTATTTTAAGAAAAGTCAACTTTGAGTTGGTGAGTCTCAAACTGCTGAACTGCAGGCAACAGGCAGTCAGCAGAAGTAGCCTGCAGTACTGCATTCTTACCACTGCATCATCATGGCTGTTGATAATAACAAATTGTGTTAGAATGTTTTTAGCGTGTCACCAAGTATGATATAGCTTTTCAGGGAAATTGGAGATAGTTTAATTTCTCTGTTGAGTTAATATAAAATGGGTGAAAGCAAAGGAGCCTCATAATCAGCATGCCAGCATGTGGGATTCCATTATGTACTACAAATCCTAATTCAAATTAATATTGGTTTTATCATCGACTTTTTGATTACTCCATTAAAAAAAAAGTCCATGTCAGGTAAAAGGAACCAGAAAGGGCATGATGAACTGATCAGATCAGTATGTCTTTTTGATACTCATTTAGAGAAAGGAATCTTGCCAGACTGAAGTACAAGTACTAGGTAAATACTGCACAGTTTAGGGAGGGTCTCTCTTCAGCCTCTTGCTCCCCACAAAAGACTCAAGGCTATTCACTCTTTTCAACACACTGTCAGATTTCACCAACATGACCTATGACAAAAAGATTGTCACCTGAATGTTTTTGCTTTTGTTTTTCCGGTTATGCAGCACAATTATGCCCCAGCCTTGCAAGTAGGAGTGATAATTAGTACCTTGTTTAATAGTCTTAGTTAAACATCTATGAAGCCATAAAGTATAAGGTGCTCAGCCTTATACATTCTATTGCCCAAGAATGATCCTCAGGTTGTGATGGTAATTTATGTTCATGAAGAGTATTTTTCTATAGGGAATATGAACTATCCCTACCTGACATATGGGGGAAAATCTGTCTTTTGTATATCTTATAAAGTCTGAGAACACTAGTGTCCATTTTGCATTTCCATGCAAGTGTGTTTCTCCATTAAGTTTCTAACACACACACACACACACACACACACACACACACACGTATGTATGTATGTATGTATGTATGTATGTATGTATGTATGTATGTATGTATGTATTTAGAGTCACAACCCCTGGTATGCCCAAATATGGGAGGAAGTTTACTGCTTCCATTCTCTGTCTCTCCCTTTATTTATTTATCAGCACAAATACAACACACACACACACACACACACACATACATACATACATACATATATATATTAGCTCTCTAATCTTACAAATATTAAGTTTATCATGCCTAGTATTAAAGTATGCTGTTGAGTCCTTATCCTTAACATCTATTTTATTTGGTTTTATCCAAGAAGACTGTAAGCAAACATTCTTCTCTGAAACCACAGGAGCTTGCTTAGGTATCTGGTTTCTTGCATTCACATTGAGTTGTGTTTTGATTTATAAGCATTGAAGGTTCTTAGCTCAAGAATCATTTCGTTGTTGTTGTTCCAGAAATAAGATCTAGGTACATAGACAACTTTACTAATTTACTTGTCTTCTTATCCGATTAATTTAAGGCAAAATTAATTATGAGGATAGAAGTAGGTGTTTGCTTGATTACAAAGCCAAATCCAGTCATTTATCTCACAACAATTCACTGTAAATACCCAAAGCATAAAGTTGGCCCAGTTTTGAAAGATGCCACTCAAAGGATAAATACAGTAGTATAATTTTACTTGTGTGGTTAGGCTGGAAAAAAAATTATACTACTTCCCCTGGTGCACAGTAGCATCCCTGTTTTTACTTCTTTTTCTTTTTGTATAATTTTGATATTATATTTGATTTATTTTCTGGCTGGATTTATTTGAGGTGGGTTGCTTTGTGATGTTTGTTAGCTATCCAGGGCCTTTGGGAATAGGCATAGCATTGAAACAAACAAAACAAAATAAAAATACACATGCAAGTTATTGTACTTACATTAACAAAGAAATGTGGAAATACTAAATAGTGTTCCTATACATTTTGGACCATGAATCCACTATGAAAATGTCCAGCTAGAGTACATTTCTATTCTAGATTGGTTCATTATCTCAAGGAAGTTCACAATTATTGTTCTACTAATAATGTATTTTAAATCCATATATTGTGGACTAGCCATGTCAGTCCTGTTTCTTCTGACTCCAAACCCTTTTTCTCCTGCTATCCTCTATTTGGATCTACAATTGGGTCAACTGACATGAGTAAATAACTTTACATATTGAGAAACTGATATAACTCTGTAAATAATCATGACACATTGCTACATTATTAATAAAATTCCATGTCTTTTGGTACAGTAACCCAGTCTGACTGCTATGTGAGTTTATACTTACCGACCGCTTCAGTGAAAAGGATGAAGACACAGACCATCAAAGATTCTAAGGATCCCGTGTGGAATGAAACTTTTCACTTCAGAATTCAGAACAAAGTAAAGGTAAGATAATGCTTGGAGCTGTGTTCTAACACATTTAGAAGGTACCAAGTGTGAAAGGCTGTCCTTGTTTGGGTGGGGGAATGAAGTCAAGATGGTAGAGGTTTGTGTGCAATTGAAACCCTGCCCCCTTTTATCTCTGACACATTTAAGAAAGGGCTGTGATCATGGCTGTGATATTGATTTTTTTTACATCCCATTCCTCTCCAATCAGATGCCATTAAAGGCCCAATTTCTATGAGGAAATTCTCAGATGTTTTTGGGGGGAATCCCTTTTATACTCAATATCCAAAGAATAATGTGGAGAGGCTAACTATGAAATGAGACTAGTTTTAAAAAATTGTGCCTGATTGCATACTTTTAGAACAATATCTCTCAATATTTCAAGTTCTGCTTGCTGTTCAAATAGTCACTTCAAATAACCATAAAACTAGAGCAAACAAATAAAAGGACTGTGAATCAATCCATTCAACAAGAGATGAATTACCAACGGTGTTCAAGAATCAGACCTCAGGCAAGAGACAATGCAACAGTGGAAATTTGCCATTTTGTTTCCCTTGTTTCCTCACAACAAACAACAATGAAACACATACTTTCACTCATCTTTCAAACATTTCAAACAGCATTTAAAAATACCCAAACTGTATGGTGCATCGACTTGAAAGATTTTCTCTATGGCCTCCGCATGTCTGTTCAAGCACAATAGCTTTTTCTCAGGGGTGGGCTTCAAAAATTTCAGTAATGGGTTCTCTGCCCAGTTGCTGGGTAGGCGTGGCCATGGTAGGCATGGCCTAGTCGCCTCCTGCACCACAGCGAGGGACTGTGTCACCTTCCCAGGCTCTGGAGGGTTTCCTGGAGCCCCTGGGAGGGTGAAAACTGTTTCCCCTGGCTCCGGAGGCCCTCTGGAGGCCAGAAACGGGCCCATTTCTGGCCTTGCAGAACTTCTGGGAGGCCCATTTTCCCCCTTCTTGAGCCTCTGCGCCGGCCCTGCACTTACCTCGCATCCAAAATGGGCCACATGGAGACTCCTGGAAAGATGAGGCGGGAGGAGCAAAGCAAGCCAGAGGTGGGATATGGAGGTTTTCCGAACTGGACATAATGTTAGTTACGGGTTCTCCCAAACCCAGATGAACCCGTAGCAGCCCGCCCCTGGCTTTACTTCACTAATAGACACAGTGGGAGAGTTGTCTATGCAAATCTACAGAGACCAAAATAGCTGGGGGTAGGCCTAACT